ACCTAATATTTCGACGATAAATTTAAAATATCAAAGGGTATTTAAAGACAAAGCTATACCTGTTGTCGATGAAAATTATCTAAAAATAAAAGTCAAAGAGCCGACAATGTAGCGTATCTTTATACAAAGGAGACGACAAATACCGTAAACGTTTAAAACTATAATTAAAACATGAAATCTTAAATCATTGGGGTGTCTATTCTTGTATGAAAGATATTTTATACTGAAACATTATGTCATTATCCAATATTATCTGTTAATTTTATGAGCAATTTATTGTAGACACTATATCGAATAGCAATATAATAATCTAACGTACAAGCATTAGTATTTCGTATTTATCATACTTCATATATTATAAGCAAAATTTTTTGCTAAAATTTATTATAGGCAAAGCTTTAAAGAGATTTAGAAAAACAAGTTATTTGAATTTATCGTAGAAAAACTCCCAACTATATAATTTATGAAGCTGATACACAGAATAAGCTTGGAGATATTTATATCACTTAATGTCTAAAGATCGTCACGAGTGTGTTTAGTGAATCTTGAGCCGAACTTGTTTCATATAAATCGCATTCTTCGCGGCAAATCCCGTCTCTAAGAAATATGGTTTTATGTCGTGTTTGATGAATACATCCAGACGTCCACTATGAGTTGACCTGTCGTGTTTCAAGCATGTCATTCAATTTAAACGAGCAAAGACATTCTGATGTTTCTTTTAAATTGGACGTGGCAGTTGTATTTTCAGAATTGGTTTTGCTGTTCGGTGTAGAATGTCAGAATTGATTTTAAATTGTTGTGTACTTCAAAGTGATAGTTTACTGTTTATTTCTCGTATTTAACAATACTTATTTTAACGTTTAAAATTTGTTGCGTCTTAACTCATTAAACGAATATCAAATTAAAGTCAGCCAATGGATTCATTACTGGTTCATTTTTTGGCGCTTTATGATGGCTTCATGATGGAAACTTTTCTTTATGACACTTTGTGCAGTATCAATTGAAAGCATAACAAAAAAGAAACTAACAAGCTTTTATATTTCACTAATTTTAACTACAACCATGTCTAAAACAATAAGCAAAATATATAGAATAAAATTTATGTTCTTTCTTTCTATTACTCTCAATATATCGATATCATCTTCAGTAAAAAGGTTCATGCAATAAAATTGCAAAAATAATACTTCGTGTACACGACTTGAAAGATATTGACATCGTCTCACGTAATAAGACCCTTGTAAGAGTAAAAAAGTTTTCCCATTGACGTAAAGATAAACTTATTAGGAAAAGAAAGTAACACATACTTAAATTTTCACTTTAAATTTAAAACTTATTTGTATTTCATTAAAGTTTATTTTAACCAATCAACCAACCAAGAAAGAAGAAGAATATAAACACACCTTTAAGAATCTTGTTATATCATGTACAATAATATACATAAAATAAATACTTCCATTAACTTATAATTGAACTTATAATTAAGTAACATTCAACTACAACGCATAATTAAGACTTGAAGTATAAAGTTAATGAGATTTTCATAGAAAGAAATTTCTTTGAAATATAATTCTTTAGTGTTAAATACAACATATTCTAAGAGATACAGGCAAAATTTATAATCTGACTCTATAAATCATATATTTGTCATAAATGTTACAAAAAACAATACGAATTCTAAGACTTTCGCGAGTATTCATTAAAATGAATACTATGATAATATTTAAAATAAAGTAAATAAGTGTTGTATAAATAAGTGTTGTATAATAAGAAAAACATTAGTTTCATTTAAATGAATACTCGCGAAAGTCTTAGATCTCATTATGTGAACCAGTGCGGACTGTAAATGGAAAAACATACTTATATAGAATAGGTTCGCATAAAATAAGGTTTGAGAAACATATTTCATTAGATTATGCATAAATCAATAAGTAGAACTTTATTGTAATAGTTGCAATTGGATGTCTGTTTCATCAATGTACAACATCAATAGCATATAGCGGTTCAGTCTTTAATCTGTCTAACTTTATCTTCGACGTCTTCAACAGAACGCCGGGAGCGATACTTGGGTCTCAAGTTTATATCGAAGGCCGATGCTTTGTTGCGAAATATCGTTAAATAAGAGGTCCAATAGCGGTATTTTCAATGGCTTTTGCTATATAAATTATTCAAGAAACAATGTATTTGTTACTATAGTTGAATTTTTTTTATAATAATTCCCGACTAAATTCCAATTAAAACTTATGTTTAAGTCAAGTCTTAAAGTCCCATTAACCTATTGTAAGAAACAAAATATATTTTCAGTACCTCTAATATTAATTGTAATAATACAAGCAAGCATGTCGGTACATTCGTTGTCCTTCTAAATAACAACATTATTCAGTATGACATCTTAAGTTTGTGTGTTTTGTTTAAATGTATTTATTTGCGTAGCCGTCTAAATACATAAATCAACAGTGACTTAGGCAGCTTATTAATATTTGCTGTGTCCTTATTAATATGTGGACGTATAGTGACTAGATGGGGTAACTTGAATCGTTTTATGTTGCATCGTTGTTGAATATTTCAATGAAAGGAAAAACTACTATCAGAAATAACAAGAACATAGTATTATAAAAATTCAATAATTTCGTATACCTCTCACTCATAGCAAGATGACTTAAATGTGTAAAAATAAAATATTTGTCTATACTTTATTTATAAAGTATATTATTCAGTGATTTTAATAGTGTTGGTGTAGGTATATAACTTAAAAATATGCATTCATCTTACACACGCATTTGTTTTTTTGTTTATAAGTAATGAAATTCAGAGAAACGTGTTATTCTAAGTGAAACTGTATTTTTTTAAGTGAAACTTTTACAACACTCATTTTTTTTCATCTATAGCATGTGCTTTAAAATACATAAATGTAGTACAATGTAAAATGTAGTAGACAGTCGTACACACAGGACACAGTTCAGCTAAGATTTTCCGAAAAATATCAAAAATTTCGTGAGTGTTCTACGGTATTAGTTTTTGTCAGTTATTTTTCAAATTAATGTGTCTTTTTAACTCGATTCTATTATCAGAATTAATAAATATAGTACTTGAAACTCAATTGTCTCTATTTATTGCAGTTCTCGATTCAGATATGATTAAAAAACAATATTAATTCCTTGGACAGATGACTTTTTGAGTTAAGTGCTTTTGAGGTTTCATTTGTATCGCAGTTTTTGTTATGTACATGTTTATTAAATAATTGTTTAAAGTGCTAAAAATAATTCATGTTACAGTAACTAAATATTCTTTTTTCTTTCTGGTTATTTTCAGTTATAAAACTATTATATACTAGAGGGATTTCAATACGACTAGTCTGATCCAGTGGGGTGAAAACACATAGTTTGTCTCTAATGACCAAATTGATTATTGCGAGTAAAATATACTTTAACTGATATACGAAGTGATACTACAACATTATTTCTTATTCTCGAAACCGGGACATTTTTTTTTATCATAATTCAAAAAGCAAATGACTTTGCTGAAAATACATATTATACTTACCTATATTCAAAATTCACATACAAAATAGGAGGTATTTTTTTGGTAGGTATTTTTTTTTAATTTACAAATTGCTATTAAGGCTTTCTCTCATAAATATTATCTAGACTGCTTTTGTTCCAAGAGATAAAATTTTAGAGCCTTTAGAAAATTGTGTCAGAAATGTCGTATACAGATAAGAGCCAAAACAATGAAAAGTTAATAACTTTACAATATCCACTTCATGAATATAGACTAGCTTAACAATCCAGTTTTGTATAAAAAATTAAGAAATAGTAGGAGTATCGCACACATGGATATTCTATTGAAAGGGTTGATTTAGTCCACAGATTTTCTTCGTTCTTTCATCTAATATATCAATAATTGTTTGCTGTAAGTGACATCTTTTTCAACATTGAAACTTTTTAAATATTATTCCACTACAACAAATAATAAACATTTTTTTGGGAAGGTATACCTTGTTATAACACTACAGATAAATAACACCAACAATGAATGTATAATCGATTTCATTCAATTTATTTCAATAAAAGGCAATATTTAAAAATGTATTTATTTTTCATTTTATTGTGCTTCTCATATTTATAAACTGGACGCATTCGTCCGAAAATTTTATAATAGTGGATGCTTTGAATCTATACAATGCGAAACAATAGTATAAAAATAAATATCGCTTAAATAATATATAAAACAGAAAACAAGAACAACATTCGATGGTCGAATATAAAATAATTTACAAATTTTAATTAATTGGTTTAACATAAAATTGAAAGGTTCAAAAGATAATACAATGAAATATGCTGAAGTTTTGAATCACACCAAGTGTAAAATTAACTTATGAAGAATGCAAATTACTCGGAATATATAGCACCAGTGAAGAAGATTTTCGGAAGTAAAACAAAAATAGTGTGTAATTTACATTAATGTGATGTGGATAATTTTAATGTGATATGATTATAAAATTCAAGTCACTAAACTAGCTTAACGTACCTACGATTTTTACAATATCTACAATTAAGTAAATTCCACGATTTACAAATTCATCTTTTTACATAAAATCAAAAATTATTATAATTTGATAGACTAGCTCGACATAACTTACTAGGACAAAATGGCTACTATCTAAATATGGTCACAAAACTTTTGTACAAATCTTTCTATCCAATTGATTAACAGAAAAGCCAGAGAACTCAAAATAGTCACCTAATCGGAAAACTTTTAGCTAATTAGAACCTCTTTTGTACAGGCCTATAGAAATATAATCACTACCAAATATCACTAAGTTCCGTATATATATTCACAAACACTATTATCGAAGAAGGCAAAAGGCCGTACTGAATATCAGTGAAAGTAGGCCGTTAGAAGTAAATCTAATAAATGCTTGGAATTATATAAAAATTAATGTATCACTCAAATGAAACAGTTATGGCACTTCCATCACCGAGTCCAAATGATCCTATTGTTCATGACATAGGTATTTCAGCTGACAATCGATGTCTCGACGACGCTCTAGTGCCACATGTTCCGCAAGTATTATTACTGTATCCAGAATCGGAACCAAATGAAGAATCTCCACTTGGTGGTTTCGGAGAAGCCCTCGGAGCTCTCCAGCAGTTAACCCCGGGTAGTTCACCACCAGGCCAAGCTCCTCCTCCGCTTATTGGGATTGGTCCGGAAGGTCTCGCTCCAACTGTACCAACCTGTGGGTACAATCTTAGCAGCGCATCCAACAACACCCCTTCGTGGAATTCCGAAGGATCAGGTGGATGTATATGCCGAGGAATTCTGTGTTGACCTCTTCGCCTTTCTAATGATTTGGGCCGTCTATCCAATCGTTGCTGTCTTTGTCGATGTGGCAAGGATTGTGGAGCAGGTGGTCTAGAACATGTTCGACAAGGTACCGCTTCGCCAACGAGACTGAGTTCGTCTTCAGCGAAGTGGTCGTCACTATGAATGGAGTCATCAGACCGATGAGGCAATTCTTCATACAAAGGAGCGCCACAGGAATCTCCACCACAGGAATTACCACCTCTCCAAGAACCCCCTGTTCCGCAAACAAAGACCCGTTGGCAATTCGGTCTTTTTGATTCCACCATCTGTAAATACATATGAATAACATTTTTACGCCTGGTCACGTTAATAAAATCTAATTTATGAGGAGATTAGTATAAATAAATGAATTGTTATATTATGTGTTGTAATTTAATGTTTAATCCATCAAATAGTTCAAATACCATTTTTATAATATGGTTTTATTTAATTATGTTTAGTATTCACCTCTAGTTGGGGTTCCATTTCTGGTCTATGAGGTAGTGGCGGACGCCTAGGCAGGTCTTGTAAGTCCTCGTACAAAGGAGCGGGAGGCGGAGCTCGTCTTTGTGATCCTGTGGTTTGGCTATGAGAGGACTTTGATGGCAGAAGGTTAGTCACTTTTCGTTTATGTCTGAAAGAGAAAAAAACACGGTAAATTTAATGTGATAATAAAAAACTGTCCAAATTAAGATATAAATTTGTTACACATTTATATTAAAGGCACGTTGCAGCAAATATCAGATACATTAAAAGCTACAATAGTTAATTTAAATAAACTAAAATATTTTAAGATAACATTTGATAATCGTGACAGCCATTTATTTAGAGACTATATAATTAAACGAAATAACATTTCTATTGCTTCACAAGTGCTATAAATAACAGGTTCTACACAAACGGTTATTGGTGACTTCATTCATTGCGTGCGCGTACGCACTTATCGTGATATCTCCATTAATATTTGTCGGTGCTATACCGTATCTTAGATCTATAGCTAGTTGACCGCAAAATGGCTACTGAGACAACAATACTTAAATATTTAACCAACCATTGGAACCATAAAATATAGATAATCTCTAAAATTATTAATTCAACTGAACATAAAAGGCACGGAACATTTTGTAGAACTATAATATTAAGTCATATGACACATTAAGTTTTATAGGTAGTTTAAAAATAAAGTACAAATATTTTATTGCACATGACAAGGAATAAGGATCGTAATTGAAAAACATCTGTTCTAATTACATTTTGGGATTTCGACATAAAAACCTTCTTTATGTTATTTTAATCTAGGAAATATTCATTTAATGACCTATAATACAAAAAATGAAATTACGTCCATTACATACATATATTTCTCTCCTACTTTACTGTGCAAAGCGTGATTCCTTTCTATTTGAAAGTAATTTCGGTTATTGGGCTTATTATAAACGCATTAGTAACGGTCGTTTGACAGGTATGATTTTTAAGAATCAGATCATGAGTATACCTTTATTAATGATAATGTAATTGGTTCCGTTATGCTCTTATTTAAAAAACCTCGCAGTTAATCGAGTTTGTATGGAACATTGAATATAATTAACCATGGTCTGATATACTTCATGAGTTTAATAATGATTTTTCACAGCATTGAATACAAAATCTCTTGGGATTTGAAAGACATTTATTTATTTTTGTTTGTTTGGATTAAATATCACAATTCAATAAAATTTACTGCTAAGTCATTGTATAGTGATTTAACAATACATATAGTACCTACAGTTGAGAACTTCTCATAGATTTTTGGATGTTTATGATTTTGTTTGAAATCTTCAAATCTTAACGATTTATAGAAAAAGAATTGTAAATCTATTGAAATATTTAACAATGAGACTATTATTCGTCGGTTAATAATTTTTGCGGTAGCCATCAAAATGCAGGTAGAATTTTTAAGTTACATTAAAATATACTCCATTAAATTATTTCTGCATATATGAATTCGTAACTATGGATTATAAATACAATTAAAGATTTTAATAATGTTTATATATTAAAAAAAATAAGGAATTTTATCAAATTAATTTGAATAAAAATACAGTAGTATATGTAAATATAGAGTAATAAATTAATCGCTTTTTAATAAATTCATATGCATCGTGAATCTTTTGAATGAACATTCAAACATCTTTAAACAAGTATGACTATATGTATAAGTAATATGAAAAAATATTATTTAATAGTACGTAAAGCGATGATTATTTTACAAGTTTTATTTAGTTTTTATAAGGTACTATAATTTTGTGTAATTGAAGACTAATCTTCCTGGAATAATTATTAATATGTTTAACATATATAATTTCAACTTGTCAGTTAATTAATATCGATAATCATATTTGCTTTAAGAAATTAAATAAAAGTCCTGCCAATTTTATAATGATGTACTTAAAGAATGCAATATTAAACCGTAAACATAATATTAGACCGTAAACATAATATTAGACTAAAATCTTTTGAATACGCTTTGTATATAAAGTTTTAGTCGAATGGGAAGTATTTGTGATGGGGAAGAAATGTCTTTTATCATTCAGATAGACCGACCACCCACACTGATACACACGCACTGTAGTGAAATGGACACTGCAATAAAAAGGCCGTTAACACCTTGTTGTCGATTGAGTGATATCAACAAGGGGATACTTTTCCTTGAACACAAACAACTACCGTGAACTCTGGCCCTAACAACCATTTAATTTATGGGTTGAATTAAGTTTAATTCTCTGTGAAGCATAATTATTGCTGAGATGTAATCGGCTTGATTAAATAAAAGCCAATCCGATAGTACCAGATGCATATTTAGTCATAATGTTACAAAATATGTTTGAAAATATGTGTATTTATTTTATACGTTAGTTTTAAAATAAAATGAAAATAATAAATCGTATAAAATACACAAAAACCCATTCCAAAACGATAAAGTTCAACCATGTAAGTTAGATTGCTTATCTTTATCATTATTTTTCAAAAGATCTTTTGTAAAAAAATTACAAAACAAACTAGTCTTTATTAACAATGTCTTACGATATAGATTTCTCTATAATTTTTATTTGTGTAAGATCTGTAGTGATGTCATCTCATGCTTGTCGATAAGACATATCAAAATGGACCCAACTATAGACCATGTTATAATTTATGCTATGAATATTTTCTGTTATCGATAATTCCGAACAAATACGATTCAAATTAATGTCTTTAATTATTGTTATCTGTGATCGGTTTGTCTCTAGATGGGAGGCTTATGGCTCCGGAATTACAAAAAGTAAGGTGACATTCGAATTCAAAGATATTACGTGACCTGCGTTAGAGAGAATCGAGAAAATATTTTTAATCAATATTTACTTACTGAGAAATGTGGAATTTTTATATTCTTAAGTCAAGATTTGATTATAAAATTAAGTACTATGAACGTTACAGCTGCGTGAAATGAAATTCGATACATCAACCGTAGAGCATAGAATTTCTCACCAAAAAAGTGTTACAGATATGACCCATCTCGCCACACCTCATTATCTAAGTCGACAACAATACACCTATACGCCAATCAATCTCATATGTTGTCCAACCGATTAGTGACGCGCCACTAATTATCATCGACTGTCGAGAAATACGATACCGGTTCTCATTGTGGTTATCGACAAAATGCGGTGTCGACGTCGATTTGGCGCGAGACATGTCTTGGATGTTGGTAATTAAATTTAAATTACGAGTTTGTAACGGCATTGAAATTCGGATCACGTAATCCAATACTTTTTGTAAACAATGTATTTTTCCAAACTAAAGACGGTGAATTTATTGCTGTGCTTGCAATGTTAAAAATTAATTGGTCGTTCGTACCATAATTTGTGAACGCTATTTAATGAAATTTAGTATTAATGGGGATAAGACCTAGGAATATCATAGATTTTTTTACATAAAAGATTTCTACACAGACATTATCCAAGTTAATAGCCGTTACTTATAATGTTTTAATAAAATTTAATTTTAATAAATTTTATTATCTATACACAAGATATTCAAATTAACGTAATAAAAATGTAATATTTCTATAAAAACAATACAATTTTATTATAATTAACACTTGAGGAACATCTTAGAATATTATTAAGCACAATGACCTTAAAATTTGAGTATCTTGTTCCAATTAAAATTTGTCTTCTCGTTTCCCGTATAATATAATTGTATTAAGATCGGGAGATTCAATACGATCAAAGGCTTATGGGGATTGTTTTGACTGACGTGTTTGTGGTTTTAATAACAAGTCAAGTAATTAGGAGTGGAACATAATATAGGCCTATAAGCAGGCCTATATTATGAGGCCTGTACTACTTATAAAATAATAAATATACTTTTTATAACTAATGAATTGTAAATTATTTGCATTAGTAGTGTACTCTTTTCATGATTTGAAATAAAATATACATAATACAGATCTTTATTAGACACTGAAATTCCATTTAAATGTTCTCAACTTTCCCGACAACGCCAGGACAAGTGTTAAATAGAATTACAAAACTATTTATTTACAAAATCGTTAAATTCCTTGGTAATGGTGTGAAAAGTAAAATACCTAGACAACATTTTAAAGTGATGATGCATCTGCATTTAAAGTTCTAGGAGCACTAGACTCGCAAATGGTCTGAACATAATCGAGAATTGATGGTGCTCTTCCAGAGAAATTACTTTTTCTTAGTCGAATATTTTCTGCTGCATGCAACAATTCTTTCTTCTCGTATTACAACCATATATGAGACAATAAATTTACGTAGAATTATATTCTAGTTAAAAAGTACTGGAAGATAGTTAAAACAAATCATTTCACGGCATTTGGATTGAAATAGCTGCACAAAGGTTTTACAGGACTGTCAGATTCAGAGAGCATATAAAGCTAGATAGCATCTAGAATCTAGGTTACTCTAACACTAAGTGACACGTCAACATGTCAGAGCAAAGTTTATGTTCCATTTAGAAGGTACTTACGAAGTGAAATCTAATGGATACTATTGTCTTAAAACTCTTAATTTATAAATTCGATTGACTATTTCTTTATTATATTTAATTTATATTTTTATCGGCTGTATTATATCTGGTTTATCGGATTATAATCTTTCATTTTTATCGTACAAAGTTGGGAACTTTTCAACTTTTAGAGTTGCATATTTTTAACTTTCAAACTCGAACCCAATGGATAGTGTGAACAGCGGGTACATTTTAGCAAAGTTTCCGTCTCAAAAGTTTACAAAATTGGCATATCGAAGTTACATAGCTGTTCGGAACTTATTTCAACTTCCAGAATGTTCCTGAACGTTATATCTATTGTCTTGATCTAGTGTTTAGTTTTAATATTTATTACTTTGAACTCAGCCGTGCTTTTGAGGCCCGTTATATGAAGTAGGTATAATATATGAGAATACTCCTTTTAATTCTGTATTGTTAATTACATTTTTAGGACTTTCTTGTTCAATATAATATAAATTTATAACATACATAACATAATAAAAAGTTTAATCATACCATTCAAAACGGCTGGTAGCTTTCGAAATAATAGCACATTCTTGTTAAAAATACATTAACAGTAACATTTAATAATTTAAATAATTCATTCACAAATTGTTTACAAATACGAATTCGATTGTTAATTGTATGTAACATTTTACTTTATTCAAAATTCACACAATATCTCGTTATTAAAATTGCATGCTGATATTAAAATCGTTGCTAATTTCAACATTGAATACGTTAAATGTATCAAAAATAAATATGTTATTTGTGTTAATTGAATAACAGGATATGACAATTCGTGATTAAATTTTTTTATCAATATGAATACCTACCAAATGATTTGGAAATTAATAATATATTTTAAATGATAGCATTTAAAATATATTAAATAAGGAAAGCCTTTTCGATTTGATCATATGTATATGAAAATATTTCTCTATCTATGTAGACATCTGTTTATTTAAATCTTTTTCTCAAAGGAAGATATGCATGTATATATATTTATATCAGTACAGTTAATTCAAATGCAAGTGTTCAGATTGACATTTATGACTTTTATGTAAACTAAAAATAAATACATAGGTATATCTTTTATGTAAGAGTTATAGGTACCTATTATGTTTTGAAATACAAGAATAAGAGAGTTCAAGAACCGACATCCTTTTTATGATACTTCAACACGACCATATTTAAAAAATCTTATTATTTAGATTTTGATTTTTTCTTTCGATATGAAAGATGATAAGTTAATTATTGATTAAAACGACGCATATAATTAAGCTACCGTATCTTTTTATGATAATTGACATGATTTCTAATATATATAGGGAACAATAGATACAGACGGAATAACAATGTTCGGTGCTGCCATGCGTAAAATTCTGTGGCTATTCAAATCAGACCACAAGAATGAATTGAGATATCATGCAAATATGTGATTGTATGCAGATTACTGATAATAAGCTCTTGAACGGCTGAAATCAACAAACCCTATATTATCTGATATTCAAATAAATTTGAACTTTAATATTAAACAAATAAACACCACAATCATGTACTCATGTCTGTAAATCTACAGGACACAGAATTATAATTGTAATGCAATGAATATCAGTTCTTAATATTCATACAATAAGATTTTTTATTGCATGATCCAAGATGTTTCAAGACATACATAATTGTTCGACTATCCAAAGACAATGTGTATTAATGAAGACTTTATCTCTATATATTATAATATAACACTGCACTACGTAATTGAAACGTTCTTTTCTCAAAATTGATATATAATTATTTCTTTATTTACCAGAAAATATACTAACAATTACGAAAATATTGTTTTTTTCTTAATTGCCTCCAGGACCAAACCTTCAAAAGCAAAACGGCGTATTAAACGTCAAAAAATATATTTTAAAGACTGAAAAATGAAAAAGAAAACAGAAACGAATTTAGAGTCTTTCGGTTCTACGGTTATTTTGAGAGCTGAGCCCCTCAGAGTTAAGACAAAGGGACCCAGTAAATAGTCTATTGTTTGGACCCCAGTGCGGAGGGGGCTCAAGTTTACGCGGGTTTTTTAAGTACACTCAAGGGTTATTCGGTCGAGAGCTTCGGCTGCGAGATCTTTGATATTGGTAAAGTTGGCTTTAGTTGCATTGCACTGAATGGGAAATAAAATCTAGTTATGAAATGACTCGCGCAAATCGAAATAGTTCCTATATTGCAGTAAAATTTGTTTTCTTTCTTTGCGGTCTATATTTATCAAAGTTATTGCATTTTTATATTATATATTTAGTAGGTATATAAAGTCCATGTGTTAAAGTAATTGTAAAAAAATATTGTTTGCTACACTTGAATATTCATGGCTTTAGCTATACTTGCGCAAGAGTGGAACGCCCTCGCCGTTTATTGGCTAACCGACATTGTTTTAGCCAATCGCGATCGTTCTAGTTACAGTATAATTTTGGCATAATTAGTCACGCATTAAATACGACGCCAAAAAAAAAACTGTGAGAACATCAGTAATTCAAAAGGAAGCAATATTTGTATAGCATATGCTGAATTCTTTCTTCACAATTTCCTGTAATTAAAGCAAATAAAATTACAATTCCTATAACATATCAAACATTCTTTTATTATTGCAAACAATGTATAAAAATGTGTTTTTGTTTCCCAAACCGATAAAAATCATAGGTATTCTTGGTATGTATAAAATTTACAGGAAGCGGGATGTATGTTACCATATTGACATTCTGATGATTTATGAATCATAGACGCGCGTGTGCAGCCATATTGTTTAAAAATAGTTTATTTATTTTATTTAAAGCTATTTACACATTGTAGGGAATTTAAATTAAACAGCTATTTTATATTTGTATAAAAGTAATGCAGGGCTTAAACTTTGTTCATTTGTTACATTTTTACAATAACGCTAAATTAAATATTAAAAAAATATTTTGTTTACTTTTAAAATTGCAGCTTACCTATGTTGCATTAAAAGTTTCGTAATTCAATGGACTTTTTATAACATCATGAAAATATCAGTACACAAATACTCACATAAAAGCAAAGGTCAAAAACGCTAAATTGTTATTAACATGTACCATTCCTTATTTTATAAGTTTACAATAACCGTTGTGTTTAGTGACTGTTTGGATCCTTCTGTCTGGTAATACATAAACAATCAAGATAATGTGAGTATCTGTTAGTAATACTTGTCTTATATTTAGCTATTATAGAGTAAACTAAACAAAGATTATGGCCTCTGAATCAATATTAATTTTAGTATCGCACCTACAACGCTTTAATGGTTACAAATATTTGTTCAGAATTTTTATGTCACACGAAAAGTAATAAAAATATAAATAGTAATATTTCCATATAGGAAATACAGTTTCGATATTTTGCTAGGAAATTGATTTCTGTCCGTAACAATATCCCGGGATGACCCATGTCGCAAAAAGCTGTGGCGCAATACTATTTTTGATAATACTGTGATAAAGAATTTTCCTATTTCCTCCAGCTTTTAAGGAATAAAACACCTCACTCCACTATATTGACTATGAAAACTTCCTGAACACTCTTGTTGCGTTACTCGAATATTTTATGTGAGTTTTAGTCAATAAGAGAAATTTAATTAGTGTGAATTAGCTGCGCTTGTTGTAATAGGATTGATAGACCTATAAACCCTTATAATTGTCGCCGTAAGAACATTGTCGTTATTGTTTCCTATCAGGATAATATATATTATAATGCTTTAGATTTTTCTATTTTTCAGTACTAATAGATCCTATACAAAAGATAATTTTAATATTAATGATTTAATCTTTTTGCACGGGTTAGTGCTTTTTGGGATGTTTTTTTGAATTTCCATTCAAATTTGTCAATAAGAAAAGCCAATTATAATTAATTATATAGGTATAATGTTAAACTCTTACGTAATATAATCTCAATATAATATACACAGTAGGTATATTTAACATGATACGTGAATACACGATATGTATGAAAACAATACGTCAACGTTTTAAGTGCTCATCTTCGTAAATCTGACTCTAAACTGTCGTAATGACAACCCGGGTACCATTGCACGTAGTTAACATTGGTATGGTGGATGATACGAGCTAAGAGCGGAAACAATTATTTAAAGCTAATTATTATAAAGGTGTCGTTAGTTAAAGGAGTCAAATTTTTTGGCAACAGAATATTAATGTGTGTTTTCTTTGATATAGGTATACTGTTTCAATGTTAAAGACTAATATACTTCTAAACAAGTTGAGTTTTAAATTAATAATAGCCATATGTTTGAATTTTATTCAAATCCTGTACATTAACATTTACCACTTTTTTCATTAGGTATATGTCAAATATAACATATTTTCGTAATAATCTTTTCTTTGGGCCATCAAAATTCTTATTACTTACAATGTCAACAGTTTAAATTCGGGATTAAATCTAAAATAGGTGACAGCTACTCTAATCAACTTTCTCGAACCATTGCTCGGGACGTATGTGACGACAAGCTTAACGACTAAAATGTCACAGACATGCGGTATTCTACCATCTAGGACGCTAATTCGTTAAATTATTCTTCGGTAGAGAGGTTCTTATTATCTATCACTATCAATACTTGTATTTAATCACTTTCTAAATGAAACTAAATTATTTGGTGCTGTTTTAATATATATACTAAACTTCCGTGTCTGTGTTTTGCGACGTAAATTTAATATTTATACATTATTTAGTTATAGGCAACACTAACAGCGTATTAAATCAAGTTAGCCCACTTACTTCCAAACAAGTATGGCGCCTATGAGCACTCCCACGACGAGAACTATGGAGCAGAGCGCGATCACCGCTGACGTCTGAAATGAAGGACCGCTGTGGTTGTAGGCGTCTATCTTCTGTAGAGAAAAATAAACGTTATTATTAAAGTATGTCATATTATTTTACTTCGTAGGTATGTTTTAAAATCATTTTTTTATTCATATATAATTAAATTAACGTTTTTATTCCATGATTGTTCAATATATTTAAAAGCAACGTTATTTTATTTCGTAAATCTTTTCTTTGGTAAATAGCCAAGCAAGTTGTTTTAAACAAGGAGATAAAATTGGGAATGTCTGAAGATTTTGTAGCAATGTATCATGCAAGTGTAGTACCATTGATTCAAAACTTGGTTTTGGTCCAAAAACGACAATTTCATGTAAATTGAAAGAACGATAAATATTTTTTTAAAATTACATAATTTCTGTTCGCATTCAAAACATTCAGTCAATTATGTTTTCATTGTCATGAAAAAAGTTAGGAAATATATTAACAGCACGAATAATTTAATTCCGAAATCCTTGGACTTCCTCCAAGGAATCGACGGACCTGATACGATTGTGTCCACAACTTGTCATAACTCTCATAGCATTATAGGCATTCTTACTACTGTTGAAAGATGATTATTGCGTGAATGTTTTTCGCGAGTGCCATAATGAGTTTTGGACACTGTACATCTAATTTGTTTTATAAGTAAAGAATCAACGGTCTTTGCCAAATGTGTTTGCTTCCCGCTTTGTGCTTGTGAATTTCGTCGGTCATAGCTTATTTCTGCCAAATGTTATACAATTTGAATTCTTCATGGATGTCACCTTCTTTTATTTCTTCAATGGTAAATCTTTGCGTTATTCTTTGCCAGATAAAATTGAATATCTGAATGGCTTGAATCAAATACGTTTGTTTTTCTACTCGATTAGCTATTTTTGAACTATTTTATAAAGGAGGATATTAATTAGAGCAAAAAATATGTCATCTTAGTTTCTGAGATAGCTTAAATATTCTACGAGTAATTTAATTTCTCTTCACAAAATTATCATTACATTGCTATAATCACGTGCATCATAAGTTTTTGTGGCGAAGTTATAAGGTGTGCTGTATATTAATATCTTCATGCTAGACGTCACGCAAGGGTAAAAAGGGTCATTATAAGCCCCATGTAATTTTTTTCTCCCTTACAATTCAGTTTTTTGCTCACCAAGGGGTTGTTTTTTATTATAAAAAATGTTTGGTGCAAGTTTTAAATTGCTTTATTAAAGCTGACGTTAAAGGTGATGGGTTTGTAGGGAAGTGCAGACGATTGAGTAAATAATCGCATGATATAATGATGAAAAAAATTCTCATCCTCTTTAATTTAGGGTGAAAAAATATGGACAGGTCTTAACATTTTAAGGTTCAATTTCTACATTGTGTTTTCATATATCGTTTCTACTTTGACGATTAATAATTAATTAATAACTAAACACGAATTGTAAATTAATATTGAAACTTTATCTTTAGTTAAAATCTATTAAAACCATAACCGATAAACAGTCAAGTCAATTCCCGTTCACGACAGATGGCCACAATGCTCCAAGCCAGCTGTATAACCCTCAAAATATTGTATTGTTTGTTATTATCTATATCATTCATAATAGTTTATAATAACAGAAATAATTTTAAGCCATTTTGATCCTTATTTTATGTGCGTAATAAGGATTATAATATTCTTAAAATTGCATTGAATAATCACAAAAAAAATATGTTCATCGTAATCATAAAACTTTATATCTATATTTTTATTCGTTGCAAGATAGGGAGTCAGTAAAAGTTATTTGTAACAAGATTGAAGTATAAGGAGTGAAAGATTTACTAATCGCTACGTATGAAATTATGGCAAAGTGAATCTATTAATTAGAGGTATCTATGTACTTATGTACATTTTTTATCGTCTTCAGGACCAAGTTGCAAACTCATTACTGAAATTTTCACTTATATTGCTCGAAGTTTGAATCTTTATAGTATGCAATATACTGTAATTATATATAAACCGAAAAAAAACTTTCAACTGAGGCTCCGCCCTCTTGGATATCGGTTAACGGACTAAAATATCCGTTTTGTGGTTTGATTTGTTACCATACCAGAAAAATATAATTAACTGATTTATTTATATTATACTTTTACTAACTTTACATTTCTATAATTTTAAAAACCATTATTGAAAGTTACTTATAATTCAAATGATTCACAGGATGTCTAGACCACGCATCCTTCCCAGCTTTGTAATGAACTGACCGCATATTAAATACGAAATGTAAATGCCTGTGACTCAGTACGGCAAAGTAATGAGAAAGATGTTAGATTTGGTATGTTCAAACGTGATAATGGTTTTCACGAAGATTACAAGATCACTAGAAATTTTAATTAAACAAAGAAATTTACTAAAAGAAATGTAGACTCTGTTTTTAGAAAAATATATTTCAAACAAATAAAAGAGAAATATTGTTCGAACATGTATAAAATGGGGCTATTCAACAAGTAACCCTAAAAAACGATAAAAATTTCTAATAAATTAAGAAACAGCAATAAGTGTGAATGCTTTGGGGTGGAATAATGTTTTTGGACGATAATACGTTTATTCAACGCAATTAGGGTGTGGGGGAAACAAAATTATATACAATTCAATAGATTGTATCTTATTAGGGCGTATGGTTGTATCCCCCCTAGGAAAAGGGAGGGGCGTATAAATTGGTTGAATTAAAGGTTACATACTATAGGGCATACAACTGTCCATGAAGTAGGTATGCATCTGCGTGAAGACAATAGACCGTTCCATATGCGCGTGCACATTTATAATTCAAAATATTGATATAAGAAGTACATGTAACGAAATAAATGAACTCAAGGAAAATACATAATGTCAAACTGGGTAAAAACATTATTACTAATTTACCTGTTTATTGGTGGAAAATAATAACATACATTTTTATTTCTAAGTCGATTGTACAAATGAAGAACCAATTATCGAATGACGAATCATCAATTAAAAGTATCCGCATACATATTTTTAGTTTCCAAATGGATAATTAAAGCGTTCAGAAGATTGTATTGATTGCAGTGATTGATATAATCTGACGGCATTGATATGAAAAAGTTAAGTAAAATAAACTTATAATTACGAGTATAAGGTAAAGACTTTCAACCCACGACGAAACCTTTTTTGATAAAAAAAATACTATCACCTGAATTTTAATCTATTAATTACTTATTATTATTTTATCACAAGTTATAATAATATTTAAACATTTTTATGTCCATTGATTCTGACTTCTCATAAGTACATTTTATAAATATCAAAACTATAGGTAATATATATATAAAGTTTAAATATTTATATCGTCTGTGTAATGTCAATAAAATGCAGACAGTGCAATAAAAATGAATGGCTGACATAGTATCCTGAGCCTAGTTCAAACATCTTGTAGATCTTTCCTGCTATCGCTAACGATGAGACAGGCAATGTTAGCTGGCTTAACATTCTTTTGAAATACCCTTACAATGCATTTAACATCCCATGGTGTTATGGTATTTACACCAATTGAAATAGAGCTTAGAATCGGATGATACAAGGGCATCGTAACTCTGAGTACATGTTGGGTTATGTTACAGATCAATTGCATACATAGTTCGTTATTGATATAGACACCACAACATGGATAATGGAACTTGTATAACAGTATTATATTTGGGTAAGTTATATACATTATATGCGATACATGCATATTGTAATGTGCCATTGCTTGCTTTGATTAATCAAACGTATATAATTAATATAAACGATATGAACATTAAAACCAAATTATATATTATATAATATACTATTCTTAACTTTCTCACAAACAGCAGAAACAAAATTTTGGTAAAAATTGTAAATTCCCAAGATGGTCATCTCACCGGCAGTAAAAACGTTGATAAATATCAGAACATGGTCCCGAAAGAATTAAATCCGTAAAAAGGGACGTCGATTTGTCAAAACGTCCAACTATCTGCTGAGGAATCCGTCATCGGAGCAGAGACGATTTATCGGTACATATCTCACATGGATCTCGAAAGAACAATATCGAGATATCAACGAAAGAAAATTCAAAAATACTCCTGTCGCAGAGTAGGTGGGGTGACCATTTATAGCCATTATAAATTACTTGGATTCAAATCTTTTTTGATGTCAGTTAATATTCATGTTCTGATTCCTCCAGAAAAAACATAGCTACATCAATGTAAACTGTTGTTTTAGCAATCGATACAAACTCATTCCTTTTGATATTTCCTTCTTATATTTATATTCAACTAGAGAGTTGACGAGTCTTAAACAAAACTATTAAATCGTCCTCAACAAAAATCTCTTTAGTTAAAATTAGACTGATATTCAAAGATAAACTTAAATACTTTTTAGTATTATATTTTTTTTATTGAAAAACTATTCACACGGATGTTCGGAGAAAGAACAATAATTGCAAATAAAATTCAAATTTGGATCACGAAATTTCGGACATGTAAAGCGTTTTAAAAACTCTAAACTATATAGATATAAGAAGTATTTTTATGAAATTTCATCCCCATATATGCAACAGGGAGACTTGTTAAACATATAATAAGTAAATATACTCTTCATTTATATATGGATCACCTATCCGAAGTAAATACAAGTAAACCAAAAAGTAAATAATAGATTGGTTTTTTTAACGAAATAACATTATACCAACTGTACTTCATATATTTAGCTTCTACGATGCCTTAAACAAACAAACACCCAATTAAATATTCAAATGCATACAACTTCAATTCTACAATTTACCCTTTTCGGATGGTCGCATTTCTTTACTATAACGTAGGTTATATATTTTGTTATATTATAAAGTTATTATAATAAAAAATTTAACTCTCAATTGATAAATGAAACTAACTATTTTAATTGTCATAAAATACAAAGAACTCACACTCAAGTGAAAGTAATAAGTTAATGATTATTCAATATTGTCTACACTTTAATTTTTATAATGGTCAACCTATTTATCGTAGGATTGATCTCAGGACGGTAGCTATTTGTCAATGCCGCTTCTATAATTATTAAAAAGGAAAAAAAGAAATTGAAAAGGCTTTAATTAATTTGGCCCGCCTGGAACTTCTAAATTATGATTATCGTCCTAAAACTTCGCTTGGGAAATGGAGTTTTTATCAGCATTAAAACAATCCCGTGAAGGGAATTTGAGCGGTCTTTTGTAAGGTTTATAAAAATATAACAGGCAAATATTTAATAAAGTTGACAGTGAAATTTTCAATGAATGCCATTTCATCATGAATACTTTTCGTGCCTTTTTTGTATTTGAAATAAAATGGACAAATATCATCGGCTCCTTTCAAACAGTAACTATTAGGAACAAGAGAATAATGAGCATTGTTCAACGCAGTTCTAGTATATTTTTTTAAAAACTGAAATATTTTTCAAAGGAAGTTGGAAAATTTAATATCCGACGTGAGTTAATATTTTAACAAAGTCCATGCTTTTAAAATTGTTCAATATTGATGTGTTAAGTTCAGTTCTAACTTTTGTACCACGTCGGGAACCTTTATAATGAAATAAGTGTATTAAAATATTAACTAACAAAGATGTTATGAAGAAACTTTCTATTAAGTATAAAAAACATATTTTTTAGTTATATCTAAGAGAAATATTGTGTAAGTGAGAGTAACTGTCCACTATCTAATCTGCGAGTACAATGTGGCGTACAATATTTAATGTCGGCTTAACACTATTTACCCACTGATAGTCTTATGATAATAAAGGTCATTGACCCCAATATTACATTCATAATATAGCGAGTAAAATAATTTATTTAATAATTAAATCGTAGGTTTGATGCAAGAAGAGAGGACTTTTACAAAGCGACTCGATTTTTAATTGTTGCCTTTAATGTTGAAACTATTATGTGATCTTACGTACGCATTACGTGATTGTAAATATGTTGTACGATATCCATTGTAAGGCATTAGTGTACACCACATACATGGAATACACTCTGCCAGCCTTATTAGTGTCTAGGGTACACTAACAGTTTTTAATAGTTTATTACTAACATAAATCACAAAATATTATCGGCGACCACCACAGTCGTGTTAGTGTGTACAGTATTTAAATCGAAATAAGGAGATTTCAACTTTAGCCTAAAAACGATATTTTCAATGTTCAACATTCACAAATCACAGACAATACGAATTTATTAATCATTTTTGATGTTTAAAATAGAAATATTAAAACTTCATCTTAATTACAGTTACAGAACTAATAATAATATTAATTATTTAATATTTATCTTATAAAAATTAAATATACTTTAATGTATTCAGGATAACATTCGAGTCATGAAAAGTCTCGTATTGTCCTAAATATGCGCATAATAAACTTGCCACATCATCTTAGACAATTAAACAATATATAAACAAAGTTCGTCTCCGTGGTCATTTTAATAAATTATAAATGCTTATTGCTGTTCCATAGTCATGTATGTCTGTATTATTATTTATGATAAGATAATATTATGTTATAGAAACAATAAAATTAAATCTTAAACTTAAATATTTATATGTAAGTCTGCGTTCACAGAATTACGAAGTTATGTGATACTGCAATTTCTTTTTATTTAAAATTTAGTAGTAAAGTTCTTAAGTATATTTTATGTCAGGGAAAAATTCTGTAAATTTAAAGAATTAGATTCTCTTTATAGAAGTAACTACTAAATGATGAACTTCTTCAATCAATATAAAAACATATAAAAAACGGTTATCCCTCCTAGTTTCATAAACTGACTTAATTTTAAATACTAACAAGATGATTCACCCTCACAGAGGTGGCATACAAATATTATATATCAAAAGATAATGATCACACGGGATTAAGTCATAAAGATATTTAAAAAATAAATAAAGTCTAACAAGTTAATGATATTAAATTAACGATCTCAACGCGGCCGCAAAAGCGACCACCGCGCGACCACCCGGCGCTTCTGCGAAGGTGACTCAATTTGCGAATCGACACCTACTTATTATTAAGAATATAATAGACGGTTTATATCTCTAATGGAAGAATATGGTTTATGCCACACACAGTTATATATTTAGTTAGTAATATAAACATTCTAGAAAACATGCCAAATTTGGTTGTAGAGATTTTTTTGCACATAATATAAATAACAAATAAAAATTTTCTTCTTAGAAATCGATATTTTATTTGATTCGCTGCGATTTAAAAAGAATATCAATAAAAAACTTCGCTAAAAAGCTTTATTTAAAGTCTCGGTTGAATAGATATAGATAGCAAAAAAAACAAACGACATTTTTTATTTAAAAATAAGTAAACAAGTGGGCGGAAGTAATCACGGATAGTCTACGTATTTTCCTCTTAAAAGGTTAATTACTTTTCTGTATAGCCGCCCTGATATCTTAATCAAACGAGACGATGTTATAAAAACCACAAGAATTTTACGCTGGTTATAAAAATAAGATAAAAACGCGTTAAGTCTTCGTCGTTTCACGGCCCATTCACAGGACAGATCATATGAATTCCTTTTTACTTACGTTATCATAAACGCTATAAAATAACTTTTATTTAACAGGGTGACTGTAATAAAATTGTCTTTCTTGCACGAAATTCCATACCAGGTAAAAAAAAGAAGTAGAAAGTCAGAAACAATATAAATAAAAGATTTCTGGACAACAAAAGCACTTAAAGAGTGTGTTTAACACAAAACCTCAAAAGGTTATGACTAATGAAGCTAATCTTAAAATTACAGTTCCGAGCAAACATTTTAAGCCAGCATTCTTCAACAATAACCGAGTAATGAGGGAAGCAAATAGAAAGCGTATCAACCTTAACATTTCATGTACTTACGAAATCCAGACCATAAACCGTTATCCCAAACTTCTTGATACAACAGAAAGAGTTTATAATGTCGTAAAATACTGATGAGAGGATAAGACTTATTGTCGCTTGCTCTTGACTAAGAACCGCGTGCGTCAAATATTTAATATTTACTTAAAACGATATTTGTTTACTCATTAACGTTTTAGAGTGTGCGATAAGGTACTGGCGATTTGTCACGTTCGATGTAAAATGGAGCTTTCTTAATTTTTACGATAAGCACTTCTGAGAATAATAAAGAATATACCTTTATTTACAAATGAGAATAATTTTAAAATATTTAACGAAGGATTCGTAATAGCTGTTTCGTGTTGTGGCAGATATTATCCAAAGAAAAAATTAAACTAGAAATATACTTATAAATACCGCATAAAGGCAGTGTAACAATTTTGAAGTAGTCAATTCTGTTAAATTATTCTGTTCTTTAATTAAAAAAACGCTAACAAAAGGAAACAGCTCCAACTAAAATATATGAAACGTAACAAAATTTAAATTTATGAATTCTAAAACACTTTGTATTTCACTTTATGTAAGCTTTTTCCAAGTGGACTGTTGCTGAAATGAAGTGGCATTCTAATTAGAATTTGCATTAAAACTTTTAACATATTTAACTTATTCTTACGTTTCTTATTTTAATGCCATTTACATTTTTATTTTTTCCGCTAGTGCTCATTGATATCCAAAAGTGTTTATAGGAAAAATAATAAAAAGGCTACTCACTGGTTCCGTATCGCAGGTTTCCAAATCTGGTATAGGATCGTCACCACAATAATAATCTGCTTGTAAAAACGGCGGCCGAGGCGGCGGTGGCACCAAAAATTCCGGAGGTGGTCCAAGACAATCACACTCCGTAAGATCTTCCAGTTCCCACATCTCGTACTTATCTAACTTAAAACTATTCACAACCTTCTCGCTGTAATCACTAACGACAGAATAGCTAGTATCACGTTTGACGCGTTCCACTTCATTAGAAGTCCTAAGTTTTATTATATTGGCTATGTAAAGTTCGTCATCGACATCACTCCATACGTTTTTTCTAACTTCATCTCTATCGTCACTTTTAATTATTCCATCACTTTCTGATGCTATAACACCGTCATCAACAGTTTTTCTTGGTTCCTTATCCTTTTCTGCTTCAGGTTTATTGCTATTAACATTTTTATTTCCAATATTATGTAGGATTCCGCTCAAGTTAGACTCTTGGGAAGGTTTTGTATTGAAGACCTCATACTGAGCATTATTTGTCCAATGAGCGTACGATGACGCCTTAGTAGGACTGTCAGTGTATCTTTCGTCCATACGCAGTTTTCTTTAATATCTGTAACAAAACAAACATTTAAAATACAAGTCTTATCTTAAAAACAAATCTAAACAACTAATTTCGTGTCAGATAGTGGCCGTATCATTCCTTGCTAGCATCAAACCACTTATTATTTAATAGCGAAGCTAACACCTCATTTTGTTTAACAAAGACACCGCAATTAGAGACTACTACATCTTAGAGCACAATAGGTACATTACTATCGATATCATCTGGCTCCACTGGTTATTTTAATTTATTTTTTACAGCTTCAATACAAGCGGATAGTTTTTAGCTATGCACTTTATCGAGATGGTGTCAGAACGTGCTTTGAAAGATTAAAGTTCAATGTATCGGAAATAAAATGTTTGTTGTATCTATTTAATTGCAATGAAAATTTGATATAATAAATTTAAAGATACAAGTATACATAACATTTTCAATGAATAATTTAATATGAACAATTCAAATATATATAGTTTTAAATTAATAAAGTAGTACATTAGTAAAGGTCATAATGTACATAGAGAAGTTGCTAATGTTCTCAATTGTAATGTACAGAAGTACACAATGGTGAAGTGAATATCTGAGAAACGGCACAAGATTGCGGGGTCATGGGGTCAAAACACCTTTAAGACTCTCGATGTCATAGTGAATGTATTTAATACATTCTATGCTTAGAATCATTATACGGTATTAGTGATCGATCAATTGACAGGTTTCTCATTAGACACCATTGGAGGGATTTCGATGAATATTATGTTGTGATTACATTTCTTTTTGGTATATTCATAAATTATATATTTCAACGGTAATTACAAAATTTTGAACGCATCATGCATATTTTAAGAGTTAATTTCAAATGTATGTTACAAAATAATGATTAATAAATCATCGATTTTGTAAACATGGTCTTAATGTTATGTAAAATAAAATATTAATATCCATTGATAGGATTTTTAATTTTGACATTTTATTCATTAGAAAATCATGGAGGGATATTTTGATCTAATGTAGCGGTTATATTTTAAAAATATTCAGTTCTATGATCGGACAAAGATCGTTAAACACGTATGTGAATGTGGAATCGATGGTGCAGGTTATCTCATTAACATTTTGGCGAGTACCGCCGGAGTTGACACCAGCACAAAGCCAAGGGCCCTCGAGCTTCTTAACGAACCTATTCTATTGGTTTCACATGTGAAATATATTCGTTTCGATATCTATCGCTTTATGTTTTCATAATTAAACTTGAACATTTTGTTTGCAGACACATATGTAATTTCAATGAAAATGATTAAGCATGATTATAGAATATGATGATTGGTATATTGGTACTTATATTAGTATAACTGATTTAAGAAAACTGTTGTAATAAAATTTCTACATAAGGATAGATGCCAAAACACTTAAAAGAATAATATTAAAGGCGCTCCGGAATAAGCATGGACAGCATCCAACTAGACTCAGAATGTCAAGACATATTTAAAACATTGGATCGTGCAATGTGAACATGGCTTCACGACCTATAAAAATGAGTTTAAGTGGCATGGCGGGAATCTGGAGGCTTTTATTATTGCATTTCCTCTGTAGAGTGTATTATATTAAATATCTATTGCAGCATTTTTAATTTACATATATTTTATTAATATTATGTCAATATAGATTTTTTACTACGAGATTTTTATTGGATATTGATTAAAAAATAATGATATGTTTTTATAAAATATGTTAGCATCATGTTTAAAATTTGTGTGCTTACAACGTAAATACGGAAATCATAAGCTTATTCGAATAGGTATTTATAAAACAATTCATGTAGAAGTCTTTAGAATAACAATTATGAGATTAAATTACATATATTGCTTTGACAATATAAAACCATTATATTTGTTTTTCCTTTTCATAGCTTTAATATTGTTCCAGTAATTGAACTAGCCATGTTCTTCAAGAAAGAAATATCTTATTTATAATTATAAAGTTATAATATTTAAAAACCAACCTTTATATAAAATAATGTAAATCCAATCCAAAATCATATTGCCCACACAACTTAACGTTCACTTTCCATTATTTCGACTTCTCACAACACTAACACTCGCACGTACTTCGCTCTCAAATCGACAACATGCTTTCCCAAACGCTCACAACTAAATGAAATGTTATCCAGCATACAATCCCTTTTATAACCTCGGTTCTTGACGGGGATATCCGTCGATGATTGGTCAACTATTCAGGTAGTCCTTTTTTTATAAAAACTTTATACCAAAGCTACTTTCTTGTCAAAACGTATTTGAATATTTGTTATTTCGAATTGTAACGAAAATAATCTTAGTATAAAATAACAAATACAGTATAACTCTTGTGTATTTAATAGTATTTATAAAAAGCTCTGTTTCTTTTCGGATTTTTTTACGATTCTGGTCAGTATTGAACATGGTTTAAATATTGTTTTAGAAAGAGAGTTTAAAATAAGTTAAATAAATTAGCAGCCAAGTTAGAATTCGAAATTAAATAAAGTTTAATGCTGAAAAGTAAAGTTTCAAAAACTTTGTAAACACTAATTAAGAAAGTGCAAGCGTTAGGTATTTCTGTGTTATGTATAGATATATAAAAACAATTGAATTATGTATTAAAAGGACATTTTGTTCTCATTGTAAGAAGATTAATAATATTTAATTAAAAGCAAATAGTAAAATTTATTTGATGTTATTACTTTAAAAATATTTAGGATAGCTAAAAAAAATTAATTACGGTTTTTTTTAAGTTGGATGATTAATTTTTAACTGTAAGGAATTCATATAACACACTGATGTAGTAGTTTTTGTAAAATCAAGTACTTTAAATAAATAAATTTAATGTTCTATCTATAGCCATTCCAATGAACGTATTATGTCATAGGTTCCAAAATTCGTCTATTCTAACAACTCAATTTCGTCTGTACAATCAAACCTACCAGTTTAAATCTAACTTAAGCCATCAAAAATTCAACCCTTTCCGATGGTCAAACTTGCTTTCTATCGATCCCACTCACCCCACATTTAATTTGTACTTAACTGTGTTCAAATTTTAACATAGGTAATTGTATCACGTCTGCTTAGAGATGAAGTTCCTATTTATGAATATAGGGGCATAGAATAATTAGAGTGTCTGAGGGATTTGTAGAACAAAAATCATGTCATTTTGCTGATATTCACATGTTTTGTATGATTTTTGTATTATTATTTCGGTCCCCTTATATTAATCTGCATAAGACAATAGTTTACATCTCGTATATTTTTTATATTATTCGTAAGCTTCTGTGCTAGTAATCTGTGTGGTCAAACATTTTAACACTAAGAGGGTAAGCTGTTTTGGTGTTTGTTCCCATTTTAGCCGCGTCCTGACTAATGGCGTCTTGTTCCAGTGGCTGAGCTGGGCATATTTACTTTAATTAGTTTGTTTAATACCATATATAAGTATTATATGATATTTATATTCGATTGATTATTTAAAAATATTTATCAACTCTTAGGTTAGTTATCAGTTTTAAGACGTAGCTTGAATTTCAGTCTTAATAAAAATATATGATGAATTTTTATTTTATTTGTATGGTAATACACATATTAGTCCAATATAGAACAACTATCTTACCTCAGTTTAATGAGTTCTTTGCGTAGTATTTAGCAATCATTTGCTAACTAAAGCCATATCTATTTTTAAGTACTTCAAAGTTTATTTTGTAAAATTATATACAACATATAATATGTTAAACACTAAAATCACATAATTTATGTTAAACAAAGTACTAAAAGATAAATTTGTGTCACATATGAATGTGCATCAACTTGGCACTGTCTACAAAAAAAGGAGAAACGATTTACAAAGCAAAACGGAACGCTATAAAATGCAATAATGCTACCAATTTTCTGAAACGACCTTAAGGAAGACGAAAACAAGACCATAACCTAATTTTTCATACATTCATCCTCTTAATGGTATGTTCTAGATTTTGATCTCTGCGATGCCAAGAGCGCTGCCAAGTGGCGTGGTCTAATATACTCCACTTGGGGCCAGGATAGGGGTGTATCTATTTAAATGGGATGTTAGGACACTTATTATAGTAATAATATTTTAATGATTTAATTAATACTTTAATAATCAATTAAAAACTAAATATCGTCGAAAATATTTGAAAATGTAGACATATATATGTAGACATATATATGTATAAATATAAAGTCAGATAAATAGTACAAAGATTTTTGAAATCAAGTTTTAATTTTATTAAAGCAACTCTCAGATAGACTCTGTATATCTTGAGAAGAAAAATCTGCATTCGCAAACAGCTGTATTTTCGGAGACAGTGGGGGATTCGGGGCATCTCATTAATACATGCCGCGTAGAGAGAAACTGTATTTTGTTAGCACCACAATCAAGATACATGCTTCATTCAGTTGGTTGTAAAAAATACTATGTCAAAATCAGATTTATGTTTAAGAGGTAAAAATGATCTGAGATATAACATCAAGAACCATTTAGTTCTGGGCAAGATTTTTTTGTAAATGACAAGTATTAAGCTATTCTTAGAACTTTACTAAAATTGGATATAATATTCACTGGTTTAAAGATAAAAGGATAATGAAATAAATTTTATAATTATATAATAATTAAATTTTCTATATATTTTCGACGGTGTACTTGGAATTTAAATGTAGGGTATACAATCCGTGTTTAATTGACGAGATTTTGATTTATTTATGAAATTTTTATAGTTTAATTAATCGTCGTTTTTCTAAATCTTGCCTTGTTTTGTTCTTGTTCTATACAACTAAACTAATTTCTGCAGAATCATAATAATAAGTTTCATGAAATTTTTCCCAATAATGAAAATATCATTGAATTACGAGATATATCAACAATATCTAACCTATGTGGTTCCAAGAAAATCAACTAAATTGGCAAGATTCCGAAAACCGTTACGTGAAATTAGTATCTAAAATTGTAGTTCCCAAACTCG